TCCCTGGTAGTTGATACTCATGCTTCAGATTGCCAGGGTGGTTCAAATGCTACGTGTTCCTCACATTTCCCTCTCCTTCTCCTTAACTTCCATGACAACCTCTAGCCCCAAAGGTGGTTAATTTTGGGAAGGAAATTTTGCTTTGCTTTCTGGCAATCACCCCATACACATCATGGGAGCTGCAGAGAAAGAAGTAACTTGTTCTTGTGTAAGGTATAAGTTCTTGTAATAAGTTCTTGTTATACCTACAGGTTCTACTTCTCCTTTGAACATAAGTGCTATACCCTTGAATCGTTCGTTGCAGGACATCTGCATGCTTCCAGAAGATGTGGAGAAGGTGAGGACAAGAAAGACTATTGTCGTAATGTTTTTTCCATTTTACAGTGGTGAAACAAAATGACAGGAGGCATTTCTCAGTAATAGATCTTTCCGGTAGATGGACTAATATATACAAATACTGTATTTTCCCTCTTCTTCCCCTCTATGGGTGAACCTACAAACCTAAAATGCTTATTTCCTCTTTTTTTTTACTCTTTAATCCATTAATTAAATATTTGTAATTATTTTGAAATAATAGAAATATTTTAGAACATTATACTTTCCTGCTTTTTCATTCCATCATTTCCCCACACATTCCTGGAGACCAAACTTTGCGATTATAACCATCTTAAAGTTACATTAGAATAAGTTATATAGAATTTGTTCCAACTGCGTGCATATGGATGGGATTTGCCTCATGCTTTTACTATCAGGAGAGAGGGAGAGGTTGGGTTTTTTTGTTTGTGCTTATGATGGACTTGGGAGATTGCTGTAAAAGAATTACAATATGAATAATAAGTGTAGTTACTGTAACATCTGCAGTAATTTAAACAGTTTCTCATGGTTTCTAATTTCTGTAAGGGGCCCAAATGGTCTTAGGCATGTTGCCAGATAGGCAGCCCACTTGAGCCTATAAACAGGGATAAAGATGAGAAGATAATGCTGATGCACATCACTCTTGTGCTAAATCTTAATCTTTTCTAACAATTGAAAAAGAGGTGTTAATGTTATAATTAGTTGTTGCAATGAGTCGGATTTGATGCCAAAGAACTTAAATGTACCTAGAAAGGCAGATTTTTTTGCTGGACTGTGGATGTGCATGTGGTTCCATGTCCTGGGCCCAAGAGGTCATCTTTGTGCACAGCACTGGTTTTACTGGCGTGGCAAGTTTTGCATTTGATTTGAAGCTCTCTCGTGTCCCTAAGGTGCATTTAAAAACAAACAAACAAACAAAAAACCTCAAACCAACTGACAAACCAAACCCACAAAACACCCAACAAATCATACACCAAAACAGCAAACTTGGGGATTAGCTTTTCGTGTTGCTTTTTGGGAAAGGTATTTCAGAAAAGAGATGTTTCTCAGTCTGTAATGTGGGAACCGAAAGCAAGGTATCTGGATTAGAAACCACAGTCTGAGAACTATTCAGTGAGGCAAGATCACATCAGCTACTTCTCCTGTGCAGATGATTGGGGGCTGATGTGATTACAAGTTAAGAGATATAAAAAGCTCAGTCCATTATGACTAAGGCTGCCTTTAAAAAAACTAGACTAAACCCAAATCAAAAACCAAAGCATTTTTAGGTTGTGAAATAATGTCTTTGAAACTTAAGAGACCGAAAACTAAGGTACATACAGTGTCAGCAAATCTGAGAGTGGTAGTCGTGTGCCAGGAAGGAGATGGGCCAGATGATCTAGAGGGACTTTCCGCTGATGCGAGTGGGAGGCAAGAGAAATGAGAAGGTTGGTGTGTCACAGCTGTGTTGGGACTGCTTCCTAGGGTGACGGACCCATGAGGAGGCAGAGCTGAAAGCTGATAGTCATGCTGAGTACAAGAGTGCCTGTATCCTGTTCCATCCTTTTGCAATGCAGCTCTCAGAAGCACTTCATAATTGCTTTTATCAGCAGGACATGCTGATATGCTGTGCTCTGCTGCTAACTTGGGGTTAACCAGTGCCACACAGGCTTTTTGAATCTTCAAAGTAGATGTCCTCTTTATCTCCCAAAAAGAAAAAGACTGTTTAATTCTTTCATTTGCTAGTGGTCTGTCCTGAAGTTCACCGAAAGTTGTCTCTTGGAGAAACTGTGCATCAAGCAAGTGATGTTAATCAGTGTTAGGGAATAGATAAAACTCTGTTCAGACACACGGGCTTGTGGGCTCTCTCAAATGTAGAGATTAATCTCTTCTAAATGCATTTGGCTGTGAACAATAAGAAGGCAGTGATGTCTGTCATGCTCCTTAAGTTTTAATTGATGTCTGTCTTTGTGCTACCCGTACAGCTTGTAGGGGATGTCATGAATACTGACGTTGAGTGGTACAATTTTCTGAGTGTAAGCCACTTTTATAAAAAAGCTTTAATTACTCTGCACTGAGAATCCCTAGCCTTAGATACTGCCATGGTTTATTAGATGGAGGTTTAGCTTTGCACCATGTAAACACGTGCAGTTGAGGGGAAAGGGGGAGAGTATTCTGGGCATCTCTGAGTTTCCATCCATGCACCTGAGTGCACCCAACCCTTCATGATGCATCCACTTTTGAGCTGAGCCTGGGCTGGGAAGCTGTGCCCAGGCCAACAGCAGTAGCGAAGGTGGGACTGGTAGGATGCTCTGTTAGACCACAGGCAGCAAGGGATACAGCAAGGACATTGAGGCAGGGAGCCCCACGTTTGCCTGGATGTGTCTGTTGTTCTGGAGGTGGCTTTACAAATTCCCTTTTCCCAGAGAAGAAGTGACCTGGGCTGGCGAGATGACAAGAGACATCATGGGGAGGGGCTCTCTGGCAGGGAAATGCCAGGGTGAAGCTTTGAAACAGCTACCTCTTATTTAAGGCAGTGTGTACCCCAGGGGAGCTAGGTTCCCACTTAACCTTATCCCAAGCTTTCTATGGAGCCTTGAGTTGACAATATGAGCTATCTCACTGCCTGTTCCCTACTTCACTGCCTTAACTCTTAACACATGAAAACATTTTACTAGCTTCTGTACTACCCACCACCTAAAGATCTACAGTCCCTTCAGAACCTGCCACTTCTGGCCCTGTACAAGTTAGCATGCATGCAAAACTGCTTGCACAGACTGGCTTGCAATTAAATCCTATTAAACAGGTTACATGGATTCTCACTAAATAAAGCAGTGTAACTAGAAGACTACATCCCTAAAATGCATACATATTCATCGATTAGGCATGTAATCAAGTTTCTTTTTATCTAATAGACGGGTAAGATAAAAGTAAATTGTATGTTCTAATCAAGGCTGAGACGATTATCTGGCCTTTTGCACGTTGTCTCTGAATTGCCCTTTGGGGTGTTTTTTTTAATGTTTAAATGAAAGGTGAGATAGACTTACATTTAATTTCTTCAGTTGAAAAAGTACAGGAAAAATTTGCTTATATCTTAAGTAAAGATCAATATGCTGTGTACTAATGAGCGTTCCAATCTTGTGTCCAGGAGAACGCGCACTTTTTTGTTGCAGATATGATTATAGCATCGCTAGAAAAAATGAAATGTAGTATCCTAAGCCAACAAGCAGAGTCCTGGGGTGTGGAGGAAATGAGTGGATCAGATGGCAGTTATCACACCGATTCAGAGTTATCTTCTTACCCTGGAGCGAAGAAGTCTGATTCTTCTGTTGCCTCTTCAGACAGTGGTTATGAAGGTGAGTTGCTTAGTCTATCATGCAAACTTCTCTGACAGCCTTTGTTGTATATTTTTGTGTAAGAAAATACTAAATGAATTTGGACATTGCTTGGAACCTCTGTTACCTTCTTTGAGTCTCTTGAGAGCTGTGTTCCCTGAGGATCATTATGCCACAAGTGTTTTCCCTCTGGGTCAAATTCTTCCTTTTGAATGCTCACATCTGTGTTTTATTTATTATAATTAAATCTTTTTTTACATGAAAAAGAAAATGTAAGGTTGAAGTGCCACATGCCAAGCACAACTCTCCATAGAGCATGCCTGTTGCTGCCTGTTCTTCTCTCTGCTTAAATCCTTTCTTTCAGGATTTGAAGCCTGATTCTTTCCTTCTGTGCTTACTTCTGCAGTATGCAGATCAGGCCATGCAATTGATTTGAGTGAAACTGCCCAGAGTATTCATTCACATATAGTTGGTGTCAAGATAGTAAATGCTTCTGGCACTATAATGCTTGAGTCAGCACATGCATTTTTAGGTAGATTTTAGTCTCTTGAGTAATACAGATCCTGGGGATGGAACTTAAGCCTAAATGACATAACTTGTACAGAAAAATGAATGGTGTGCTTGCATCTGAGGAGGGGAGAGACCACTGATAATATAAACCCTTTTGGTTTAGTTTCTAGATGCTTCTTCCTAAGAAACTGAGGTACATGTTGTATGACAGACACCCAAGAACTGGCTTTCTGTGTGTGTTTATAAATATAAATAATTAAAATTGCTCTGTAAATCCAGACTGTGTGCTAAAATTTTGGTGATCAAAGAAAAAAAAAAAATAATTGCAGCTACTGTGTAAATGGTGGAAAAGTTTAACTGGTGTTGTCTTTGTTCCGGACAGGCTGTGCTCTGCTGTCTGCCAGCTCCCCAGTGCATCTACCTTCACATCATGAGGTTACCAGGTTTCGTTGCCACAGTGACTCAGAGGATGAATATGTAATTATTGGTAAGACTTCAAAATTGTAACTGAAGAAACAGCTCTATTGTTCAGATGAATCTGTTGCATCATTTGGAAAATCTATTGACTTAGTGGATGTTATCACAGGAGAAATAACATGACAAAATGGAAGGAGCAACGGATGCATTACTCCTTACTAGAACACATACAGAAATACCAGAGTGATGCAGGATTTCCTGCAAATATCCAAAGATATTCCAAAGAATATCTTTGCTGTTTTGAGGGACTGAAATTATGTCTAAGAATTAAACACAATGAATGTGGGAGAGCAAAGTATAAAACTGGCACAACCTCAGCCAACTTTGGGAGCATTGTTTTAGAGAATTTAGATATGAAAATTCCCTAATTAAAGATACTGATTAGGTTTTAGGCAGCCCTCCCTCTGCTTCAGGACTAGACCAGAATGTCTCTGTCCTCTTATAGTCACCAGTACTCTGCTTCTCTTCAGCACATCCTGAGTTTCTTTGCTTAGCTTCTGGTTTTTATATATACAGAAATGGAATGCCCTGGAAAGTAGCTAAGCAACATTTAACCTCTATCTTATTTTTTCCTGTTAACAAATGCTTTTTTTATAGCTCCCTTTGGTTTTTGGGATTGGCTTTTTTCCCTAATCTAAGAATGAAGAACTAGCTCCCAAAACTGCATTTCTAGTAGCAAGAATTATTTTGACATGTATGAATGGGGAAGCAATTGTCTTGAGAACAACGTGTAGGCCAAAACTAATGCTACCAATGCGAACACCTTATCTGGATAAGCATATTTTGTCTATATAAACATAATGAAGAAATGTGTGCTTTAATTCCATTCATCTCACTGGTTACTAACTTCTTCATAGCATTAGCTGGCATGTTTGTGATTAGTGCCTCCAAATATCTGTCAGTGTCCCAAAAAATTAATGTGCACTGTATTGGTCCTGTATATTATTATTTATGTCTGGTGCCTTCTGGCTGGACCTGGACTAGCATTCTCTTGCTCTTGAAGGGAAGCTGATGGTGATGATACGATGCAGGCTGTTAGGGACTACTCTTCAGCAGATGTCAGAGATCTGCAGAGGAGGTGTTTCACAGCCAGGGCTGAGGTTATTTCCACATCCAGCAAGGGTGTTGTAAAGACAAATATATTTGAAACTGACACTCTGGTAAGACAGAAGGCAGATTTAAAACAGTGGTAGATAACAGGAGCTTTGTTTCTTAGATGACTTGATAAAATTTTCTCCTTTACCACAGAACTTGAAGACCTTGAAAATCTGTCTGTCACCCCAGATGAAAGGTAATGCTGTGTAGCTTTACTATAATAGCCTGGTGGTATAACCTTTTCTGCTCGGCAGCTTTCTGGTGACTTTTCTGGCCGGGGCGGGGAAAGGTGTGGGAGTGGTAAATTTGGCCCTCCCAAGAAAGGGGAAGGAATGCTGCTTGACAGCAAATGTCTGTGGTGCTTGGCTCAGCAGAGCATTTCTCTGGTCCTGAAGTCTTGCTGGAGGGTGGTGGCTGTGGCTCTGCAAGGGCCTGGGTGTATCAAAGCAAGGGGATAGGAATCAAGGGATGGGAGAAAACTTTTCAGGGATGCAGAAGAGACAGTGGAGCTGCTGATGACATGCTGCTATTTTTTGTTGTCTGTATTGCTTAACTTTCAGATCATCTTTTGAACCTGGCAGCAATTCTGCTGAAGCAACAGCCCAGGAGTTATGCAGAGCTTTCAGAAAACACTGGTTGCAGACAGACTCTGCAGTTCAACTGCCTGATTGCCTGAGCTCATCTAAGCAGAGAGTGAGTATGAGCCGAAAACAGCATGCTCTTTATTCAGTTCCCCAAATAATCACTGTCTCACTGCAGCTGCTTCACTGTTAGGGAAAGGGGGAAGCTGCATTTAAAAAAAAAACAAAAACAAACAAGCAAATAAAAACAAACAAAAAACAAAAACAGATGACTACGTACAGTTTATTAGTTCACTTTAGATAAAATTTAAGAAAATGTCCTCTCTCTTTAGCAATTTTGAGCACATTTAAGATGTACAGTTGTGAAGAATCAAGACGTACTTCCTTCTGGGACTGATACAAGGGAGTTTAACTGAGAGGGGACTACATGCAGGTGAAAACCGAGCTTTAAAATCCTGGAGTATAAACGAGATGTTTTGCAGCATTTAACATATGTCCAGTTGATGGCTGTTCATCTTCATGAGTTTTTCTTTACCCATAGTCTGTTCTGAAAGAAGAGATTCCAAGAGAGCTTGAGTCAAGTTTGAAACTGGCTGAAGAAATAAAGATCATATCCAAATTAAGAGGATCTTCTGGCTGGGCCCCACCAAGATCACAGATTATATTTAATATTCACCCTTCAGTCAAGTAAGTCTAAGGGATCTGAACGTTGTTTAGTACAGCATGGGGATGTGTCTAAAACCTGCTGAAGTTGATGGAAGGAGCCTAGGTGATTTAACAGAACTGAAGGTTAGAGCTAGGGCATGGTGCACCCTTCTGCAGTGTCTGTAACCAGCTTCGCTAGAAAGCAAACAGCATCTTTTTCCTCTCTGTTGCCACATCCTGATTAACGTGGCACGTGCACTTTTAAATGTGATAATACGCATACAGTTTGTGCTATGGTGGCAGTGTGCGTAGCTGGACTCCTAAACATTTCATTTTGTGAGACTACCTGGTGAATATTCTTAAGAGTTTCTCCACTTCCCTGCATAAAGTCCCATGTCCCACTCTGCATAAAGTGCTGTTAAATGCACACAGTATGGTGTGCTAATTTCCTGCGTCCAGGTTCAGTTGCTTTTTCAGTTGCAGATGTGGATTCCGCTCCCTCCCCCCATATGATTCCACCTTAAGAAATGTGAAAGAATTTAATTCTTGCTACAAGCCATATTTAGAAGCAGTAATTGATGGTATATTCTCCACAGGATAATTTAGAGACTCCCACTAAAATAATAATCTGCATCTCCTTCTCGAACCCCCTTCTTCATGTGGAGGAGTAGGAGTCTGCTCCTAATTTGGACATTTTCACTGGTGCCAGTGTAGTTCTATTGCATTTTGGGATAATGTTAACTGAACTGTGTTTTGAATGCTTAAAGGTGTGACTATTTGCCTCTCTATGCAGGAGAGATGCAGTGGTGGCTGCCCAAAATTTTACGTGTGTTGGTTGTGGAACACCAATAGAAAGCAGTAAGTATTACCAAAAAGGAAAAAACCTAATAAATCCATTACTAGTAATCAGGCTATAATCTTCACCAACACAGATGTACCACAGTTGTAAAATTATCTGAACTAGAAGGAAAATCTCATTGTTGAATGTCCCTGCAATAATGAAACAGGCAGTGGGATCTTACCACTACCTGGAATTTCTCATTGCGGACAGAATACAATACTTGATAGATGTCCTTCTCATACACAGTAAAAATTCACGTCAACAACAAAAGAGGAAAAGCTATTACAAAATCAAGCTTCCAGGGTGAAAATGCTGATTTTACATCTTCCAATAGTTTCTTTCAGTAATTCTTTCTCTGTGCCAATTTACACATTTCCAAAAGTCTTTTTAGAGACTTTATGGAAGCTTTATGCAAGCTTATGGAATGTGTGGTTTTGCTCTTTTGGGGTGTCTTTTAAAAACTTTTTTTTTAAATCTTGATCACAAAATCCTGCTTGTGTTTTATTTGTGATACTTTGTGAGAACTGCTTGAAAGCATGATGATTTACAGGTCTCACAACCAGACCTTACCTAAGAAATCTTTGAAGTGGCTTTCAAGACTTATTCTGGGTCTGTTCACAAAAGAGCAGCATTTGTGATGGCCTGAAGTACCAACAGTCTGTGACGGCATGTTGACTCGAGCAAACCTGAGATGCTGAGATACCTGGGAAAAACCCACAAGACCACTTTATATTGAAAAAAGTATTATACAAATGTAACTCCAAGATCAGCTTGTCTTTCCATTTGGTGGAAGTATTTTGTTGTGTGTTTTATCTTGTGTCTCTTTTTTGCAGATAAAGCAACAATGGTTTCTCTAAGATTTCATGGTGATAAACATAATCAGTTCAGTTTGACAAGGAAATGAGGAAGACTTTCTAATGCAAAATACAGACCTTATGCATGTGTTGACCGTGATAATAAAATCCCCTACTGGAAAACAAATCCCTTGCCCCTCACTCCAATAGATCTGAGTTTAGACAGAGTAGGCATACAGACAAGAGGTATGTCCCGTAAGTATTAGAAATACTCAAAATTTCATTGCTGTCTACCCGCAGAATATATCAGGAGACTACGCTATTGTGACTACCTGGGGAAATACTTTTGTGACTGCTGCCACGGCTATGCCCAGTCTTCCATTCCTGCCCGAATACTTTTGAAGTGGGACTTCAAAAAATACTATGTGTGCAACTTCTCCAAGCATCTACTGGACAGCATATGGCAGCACCCAATTTTCAATGTGTCATGTATTAACAAAGCCCTCTACACGAAAAGTAAAGACATGGACAGGGTAAGGGTAAGTGTGACCACCTTTTTTTTTTTTTTTTTTTTTGATTGAGAATTTGTGGGTCTGAGACTTTTGGGAAGTTAGGGCAGGTTGTCCTTACCTTGCCGTGTGCGTATGTGGGGAGGAGACAGAGCTGGTTTCTCCACACTTAACTTGTCCCATCACTGCTTCTGGAGCTTGTCCTCTCTCCCATCAGATGAAGGGAGAGGAGGGAGAAGTTTCCAACCTCTGCCAGAGGTTTCATTTCCCCTTCCCTTGTCTTTGGGAGGTGTCTCCTTACTGGTTTCCACTTCTAGTTCATGGAGGGGAGCTGTGCTCCTGCAGTAAATACTTGCCTTTGCTTGGCAATTGGCTGTTGGAAAGCTCCGGAAGTTTTGAATGACTCCCTAATTTTGTGGGCCATTAGAGAAAACACCCTTGGCTCACATAAGGGCTGTACCTCCTTACAGCTTGAGGAATGGTGCCTTGCTGAAGATTACAAGTTGCCATGCACTCCCTTCTTGGCTGAGACGACACTTATCTGTTCTTGCACAGGTTTGGGTCTAGCATCTTGGTGTGCTGATATAGAGCCATTTGTGGCATTAGGAGTTGCTTCCTTTGTTGGTGAATAAAAGTAGTCTTTGCCTTCCTTGGCCTTTTGTGCATTAGAAAATCCATTTGTTTAATTCTGTGCCGAGTGTGAAGTTCCTGGTTTTAAGTGTGATTTGATGTACTGACAAGGATTGCTGACTCAAATAATGGTGTTCCTCACTTAAGAATATATAAATGCAATTGCTTTTCATTTAATAATTGTTTTGTTTTTCTCCTTTATCTTTTAGGAGGTCCAAGAACAGCTTTTTCATTTAAAAAAGCTTTTGAAAACCTGTAGGTTTGGTGAAAGGTATGGGCCATGATCATGCATGAAAAATAGCTTATTATTAAAATAATTAAAAATAATAATTAAAAACACATTATTAAAATGTACCTAAGGTGCTTATAGAGCCTAATTCTCTAGAGACATTTGAGTGCAGTTTTAAATGAGTTAATATTATAATTAGAGAAAATTTTGATAACAAAACTTCCTTCTATTGCACTTCAAATGTTGAGTTGAAGAACAGGTTTTATGTGGTAGCTTTGTTTCTCGTAACATACTTAGACCTTTGGTTTTAAATGTTGAATGATTTTTCTTAGGGGTGTAGGGTTTTTTTCTACACTCTCTCAGGTTCTCACTTATTCTTAAAAGATCAAAGATACTATGTATATCTCTGAGCTGATTTATCTTTAACTAACTAACTAATTAACTGTGTTCCTTGAGGGTTTAAAAATTTTTTCCGGAAATCTGTCAATAATGTTCAATTCAGTTTATTTTATAAACGTATTCAAATGAAAGTAGTAACCAAAAGTAGTAAATACCAAAACATGACCTTGCTTGTTGCTGCAAATTAAAGATTTTTGGTATTCATCTTCCTAAACTGTGAGCATAACTCATAGGTAGACAAGTGGATGATGAAACTTTCACTGCAGATTTGCTGACCTTTTTAAACACAAGCAAAAAATTTTAAACGTAGGTTCTGTTCTCTCTTTGGCATGGACCTCTTTTATGCATCAATTACTTGTTGTTCGCCAAAATTAAGTAGGAATGTATTTTAATGGCGCTCTGCTGGACAACCACCTGTGATTCCATTATAGAAATAAGCATTAAGATCTTCACTATACTCTCGACATTTGTAGTATTGTAAAAGTAATAGCTACATTTCCAGTGTTCACCTGCTCAGTACAAGCATAGTTTCACCCAATAGTGACCTATGCAGGATAAAACTGCTCAAAGTTCTCATTGCAAAAAACCAAACCAAAACAAAAAAACCCACAAACCACAAAAAAACCACCAAAACCCCTAGCTTATTGTATTAGATACTATATAGGAATTTACCTACTGTTTCTGAGTTAGGAGAGCCCTTTACACATTATTTAAGAATTGCTGGGATAACTCTGCATGGCAGCTCCAGTGCCCAAGGAATGCACATTTAAAGCAGACATTTTATTCTAAATCCGAAATCCTCCAGTTTTTGTTAATGTGATCTCAAATGGAGAGGGGAGGTAGGATTTAGCATGAATTTGCCTTGTATGATCACTGGGTGACTAGAGAAGGAAAAGAGGCTTATTCTTCAAATATACTTGAAAAACAACATTTTGTCACTTGATTTGGATTTTCTTTCTTTTTGCAGTGTACTGAAAGAATTTGAACAGGTCCCCAGCCATCTGACAGAGGAGCTGCACCTCTTTTCACTGGATGATCTGGTGAAGATCAAACGAGGGCAGTTACTGCCCCTTCTTAAAGATATTCTGAAGAGCTCCACCTCCCATGTGGATGGCTGTGAGGTAAGGAAAAGCCAGGGCTCTTGGCGTCCTTGCAGCTGCTAGTGTGAGGAATATCCCTGCTGACATTCCCAAATAAGTTTTTCTTAGATTAAAAGTAAACCAACTCTTCTGTTGTCCTTATAGCTCTGTCAAGCGAAGGGGTTTATCTGTGAATTCTGTCAGAGCGCAGATCTGCTCTTTCCATATCAGATTGCCAAATGCAAAAGGTGCACAGGTATGTTCCAGACCAAACATTTTTCTTTCTTCCTTGGGGGAGGGAATGTTGGTGTGTGAAACTGTTGAGACTTATTTTAGGAAAACATTGAGAACTTGCTTCACTGGAAAGCATGCATATTTGAAAACCTGCACGTGTATTTGAAAACCATGGGTAGCATGTATCTTTCAAAATCAGCCTGTGGCAGCTGTCTTGCATAAGTGAATTCAGAGGGCAGATCCAGGGACTTGCTTGAACGTAATTATGGCTGCAGGGGGAGGCTATTTATTGGGTCTACGCATGAGAGAGAGCCTGGGACAATGCTATACTGCTGCTATATGAGATCTTGCCAAAATCCATTATAAATCCTGCAAATCTTACCAAAATGTTTAGTCAGTTATTACAGTGGTGGTTGTTGTCCCAGCCTTGCACTGCTTCTGTTTACTTTTAGAGTTGAGTGAACTAGATAAACATCCTTCAAGGAACACAGCTATCGATTCTTTTTTTTAATTTGTTTTTTCCTGAATGTTAAACTGCTTGTGTGTATAAACAGAGTGCAAAACATGCTTTCACAAAGCATGCTTCAAGTCTGGAGGCTGCCCCAAATGTCTGCGAATTGCAGCTCGGAGGACGCTTTCAGAAACCCCGTCACTGGTGCCTCTCTGAAACTGGATTCCTCTGACTGCTGATTTCAGAAAATGCTCAAAGCCAAATCTACAGGTGCCTGACTAAGAATTAAATAATGTTGTTTTAGACATTACTATTTTTAATGCATGTCTCCATTATGGGGGGGAGGGGTAAAAAAAAAAAAAATTAATACATTTCTCAATTAAGGGGGGGAGGGGAAAAAAAAAAAAAAAAAAAAAAAAAGAAAAAATAAAAAAAAGACTAATATCATCATTGAAAACTCACCTTAAAGGAGTTAACTGTCATCTTAACTGATGACAGAAAGACTGATGTTAATTCTGTGAGCAGCCTTTTGTTGCTATGTTTTGTCCTTGTATGTAAGATTTTTAATATTATATTTTTCCATTTAAAAATTATTATTCTCTGTAATTCTGCAAATAATGTATAGATAGTAAATGAGTGTTGAAATCATTAACCTGTGTTGGATTTTGGAAATAGGAAAAAGTGGTAAAGTATGAAATAATTTTCTTAAAAGCTCTACAATAGAAAAAGGTTGTCGGCAAGCTTTAAGCAGATGCTGATCTGAAATTCTGTTCTGGCAAATGCTTAATGGGAACCAGTGGATTTTAAGTTTCTTTTAAACAGATGTATGCAACAGCTTGTGGTGGGTTGACCTTGGCCTGCTGCTAGATGCCCACCCAGCTGCTCTCTCACCCTCCCTGCCCTCAACAGGACAGAGGGAGAAAAATAAGGTGGAAGAGCTCTAAGTGAGTGTAAAGACAGGGAGAACACTTACAAGTACTATCACAGGCAAAACAGACTCAAATTGGGGAAAATGAAATTTATTGCCAATCAGACATTGAGGAGGGTGGTGAGAAACAAAGACAAAACCTAAACCGACAACTTCACCCTACCTCACCCATCCTTTTTCCCAGGCTCAACTTCACTTCATCATTCCCAACTCTTCTACCTTCTCCTCATCCCAAGTGGTGCAGGGGGATGGGGAATGAGGATTGCAGTCAGTCCATAACAGCTCTTCTCTGCTGCTCCTTCCTCCTCGTGCTGTTCCCTTGTTCCAGTGTGGGCCCTTGCTATGGGCTGCAGTCCTTCAGGATAAACCTGCTCCTGCATGAGCTCTCCAGGAGATGTAGTTCCTTTATGAAATATCTACATGCTCCAGTGGGGTTCTTTCCACGGGCTGCAGTGGAATCTCTGCTGTAGTGTCTGGAGCACCTCATTCCCCCTCCTTCACTGGCCTTGGTGTTTGTACTGTTGTTTATCGCCCCCCTGCCATGTGGTGTTTTGCCCTTTCTTAAATACGTTTTCTCAGAGGTACCACCATCTTGGCTGAGGTGCTCAGCTGTGTCCTGTGGTGAGTTCATTGGAGCTGGCTGGAAGCAGTTGTGTCTGGCATGGGGCAGTCCCAGCCTCCTCACACAGAGGCCACCCTGCAGCCCCCCACTGCCAACACCTTGCCACCTATACCCAGTACACCGCTGCAGAAGTTTCTTTCTGGAACACTTAGAAATGTGAAGGGAGGCAGTGAGTGAGCAGGAGAGATGCTCCTGTTTAAATCCACTCTTACGCTTGCAGACTGAGTCCTTGCCTAAAGGTGAAGTGCGGGAAGTTGAAAGCAGCTTTCATTCCCAGCCTGGTTGGTTACTTCTGGTGAAACTGGCTGAGGGACCAGGCCCTGCCTTCAGAAACCCAGAGCAGCTGCTTGAACCTGTAAAACGATTTTTCTGTTTATGCCATATATGAAGTACCAATGAACAGAGAAGCCCCAGAACTTGAAAGCACATACCAAAGTTCTGGTCTCTCCAATGGGGTGCTCTTAATATTTTGGATTTGTTCTCATTTTGTGCTTTGTTCTTCTTCTCTTCACCTGCTAGCTCCAGCTTTTAGCAAGGAAAAGATCAGCTGGGCTGTTACCAGGGTCTGTGTAAGTTCATCTCCACACTAATGCTTACAGTACTAGTAAGTTCACAAACTCTTCCACTTAACTATTTTTTCTGTGGCCAAAACCAGCTTACCTACTTACTGCTCAGATGCAAGATTATCATCTCCTACTCAAGATCACCAAACGGATACTGACGTAGGGCAAGACATGGTGAGAAAGAGCCTGCTTAGGCAGAAAGAGCCTGCTTAGGCAGCTGACTGTTTTTAATGTTATGCAAGAGTAAATTCTCATTTAAGTTGGTTGCACGACTAACTGAATCACATGAAAGGCCTTGCTGTAGGGATTTTTTGCTTATGAAGGAGCTCACTTGGATAATCCTTCTGTAAGAACCTGAAGGGCAACTGAATACATCTTTTTCATTATTCATGAATTTAGAAGAGCTGATCTGGTTTGTGGCTGCGCTTTTCACAAATGTTCAAGTCTCACTAAACAGTAGTGGTACGCAGGAGGGGGAGCGTCAAGGAGCATTAAGTGTTGACTCTTTACATCCACTCAGTGAAGTCCAGGTCTCCACAGAGCATGTACAGCTTATCCTGACTATTGTTACGTACCACAATGTGTATCATGGCAAGAGAAGATCCTCTATTAGAGTAGCTGGCGGAAAGCAGAAGACCCAAGAGGATCAGCATGCCTAAAATCCAAGGAAAACTAGTTAAAATGTTCTGCTGCTGAAGCTCAAGTAACAAGGTCCTTCAAGTCCTCAAGCAAGTTGTGAGGTGCCAACAAGTTAGTCACAAGTTGGAAGGAATAACAGAGGCTGCTGTTCGCTGCTTTTGAGGGGGTGGTGCTCTTGACTGTAGTTGGTCTGGAGCAGGGTCATACCAAAACCACATTCTCGACTGCTGGTGTCAGCACAAGATACCACAGGAACATGCTGAGGCCATTCATCCTGAACCTCTTCTCTGGAGAGAAGCAAGGGTGACTAGGCCTGTAGCCACAAAGTGTTCTCAGTGTTGCTGAGGTGAGAGTTTCTTCTTATCAGCTGCTATCCTGGGATAGCATAAAGCTACCACACTAAAATTGAAAGTGTGCACAGTATCTTTCTGTATTTGGTCATAAAGTGGCTAGGACAGGAAGGGGTGACTTCTGTGCTACAAAACCTCTAGGTGTCTTTAGGGTATAGCTGTGTTCTTTGAATCAAGTTTTGAGAGTCATTAAGCTTCTCAGATCAATACTGTTCTCTTCCTGAGTGTACTCCTATGGATAAGTACTGAGTTTGATAATTTCTGAGGTTAAACCAGGTAAGGCAGATCCATTTTAAGAAATAAAAGCTATATGGTTACAGTGAACTCCTTTGCAGGAAGTAAAATCCTACATGTGGGAGCTCTGAATTCTTTGAGAGGAGAGGACAGAAAGGGTTAGGCTGTCTTACCAAGGAGCTGGGACAGTTCAAAATAAGCTGCCTGAAAGCTGAACATGTTTCACAGAGGACAGTGACAAGAGACATGACTCTTCAGCTAGGGAAGGAAAGGGATTTGTCGCACCTTTCTGTTTGCCTGAGTAATGAGGACCAATGCTCATTCTTAACAGTGGGTTTTCATGATGCCATGTAGATGCAAAAGGAGCACTCTCGGGGATCTAACAGGCAGAGAAACGTATTCCTAGTTAACTGCCTGCCTCACTCCTCAGGCAGAATTCAGGTCAAGTCAGTTTTATTAGTAATTTCTTCAAAGGAACACAATACCAATATCTCACTCTTGGTGAGATCACAGAATCATTAAAGTTGGAAAAGACCTTTAAGATCATCAAGTCCAACCACCAACCCAACACCACCATGCTTACTAAACCATGTCCCGAAGTGCCACATCTACACGTTTTTTGAATACTTCCAGTGAAGGTGACTCCACCACCTCCCTGGGCAGCCTGTTCCAATGCTTGACGACTCTCTCAGTAAAGAAATTTTTCCTGATATGTAGTCTAAAATACAGATATTGGTAACTATTATCTGCTAACAACTTTATCTGCTTTTCCACTAGTTATTTATTTATACTGATTTGTTGTATTTTTCCTCTTAGTTGCAGTTGTAAGTTGTCTGGAGGTGGAAGTGCTTTGCTAAGACTCTGTACAGTGCATTGCATCCAGGATCTTTCATGATAAACCATACAGAAGTTACTGTAAATAATAGAATAATACTAATTGCCAGGCATAGTATGGACTCACAAATGTAGGTCTTGTTGCAACTGTAAGCAAGTATGTCAAGTTAATTAAGTAGTTTTATGGGCCCATATAATTCCAGAGATGTCTGTCATACCCGTTCATTTTAAGAGAAGAAAATGTCTACATATTTTATGAGAAATGATATTTTGTCTGGTTTTGCACACATAGGATGCACAAACTCCGTCAGCAGAAGTCTTTCACCTCTTGATGTGCCTATTTTCATGTTTTTAATTTTTTTAAAGGAATTTTACCACTATTCCCCTACATTTTCTCTGTGACTGCTGCTTGATATAGTTTTCTTTTAGGCCAGCAATCTGAATACTCTGAAAAACATCCAAAGTCTTCTAAGATATTTGTTGTACTTAATGTTGTTTAGCATTGACATAATCGTTGGTGTCCTTTGGTCTTGAGTATTTGCCCTCCCTCGCGATTCTGAACAAAGCCACAAGACCCTTACACATACAAAATGAAAGTGCCATGTTTGATCACACATTGCGTATCTGTCTGACCACTGACTGAAAAGTCTTCTGAAGACTGGAAAACCAGGATGTCATTAAGGGAGATCTAATTAGTAAAGGAGAGAAAGGAGAGGTAGGGAATAGATTTACAAAAAAGGCTTGGGTAGCATACACTTCAGTGGAGTGTGGAGAGAGCTAAGCAAAATAGGCAGCAGTAAAAGAAGCTCTGTACCGAATAAATCATCCATCCTGTCTTTTTTACATTTGACTAGACTAAAAATAAAAATGCAGGTTAAATCTGTTACCAGTAAACTAAACTTGCCCAGCACTGGTCTCTGGTGCTGAGGGCAGATGGTGCAAGATGGGCCAAGTTCAAATACTCCATGCTTTTGTTCACCATGGGGTTGCCAGACCCAACATGCCTGTTGTGAATGGCCCCACATCCATGCTAACTCCTGATCTCTATTTGCTGTCATAGGCCAGATTTGTGCCATGTTTAGTCTTAGCAGTTTGCCAGTGTAGACGTCCATGATTTA